GCGATCATCGACATGAACCTCTGCAAGGTTTTTCTTTCCCAGAATCGTTGAGAGAGTCTGAACAACTTGATACACCAGATTTGACAGCAGCACACAGTTCCTCTGCCTCTTCTGTCCCAGCTACTAGGAAAAATGATTTCCTGTATAGGCATTGTACTGTGGGCCCATCTCCATGCCCGAACCCTGCAATGGTTCCTGCTGCCATTTCAATGGGCAGGAACCAGCCACTCTTCCATCAGGGTCTGAGTTCCTCCACTGATGTCCTACATTCCTTCCGGTGGTGGCAGTCCCAGGCTGTCAGGAAAGGCCATTTCTTCAAGGAAACAGATAGGATCATGTTCACAACAGATGTCAGTCTTTATGGCTGGAGGGCTCATCTACAAAGCAAGATAGCTTAGGGTCATTGGTCCCAGGCAGACAGGTCCCGCCCCATCAATTGGCTAGAACTCAAGGCCATCTTCCTGGCTTTGAGACACTTCCAGAACAAAGTGACAGGGTCCTACATGTTGATTATGACCAACAATGTGGCCACCAAGGCCCATCAACAGACAAGTGGGGACCCGGTCAATATCCTTGATACAAGTAGCCGAACATCTTGGGTGGTGGGAGGAGGGACACCTGTCCCTCAGAGCAAACAACATTTCAGGGGTCTAGAACATCCAGGCCTCCTGCAGATGCCTCCTGCAGCACCCTGCCCCCCCGCACCTCATTTTCACCCTCCTGCAGCACTCTGGTGGCCGAAAATGGGCTGCATGGCCGATTTACGGGGCATTTTTGGCTGTTTTCAGCCCAGTTTTCATCCTGTTTTGGGCCTGTTTTCATCCCATTTTTGGGGCATTTTTGGGCGGTCACGGAGGCTGAAAGTATGGCATGGGGGAAGGGCACATGTGGCCTGTTTTAGCTGCCAGAGGCACTGCAGGCCGGTCCCTTGATATTTCCAGCCCGGCCCCACGGGCCAGATTTAAGCATCCCATGGTTTAAAAGTATGCAGCAATTCCTAGATGATTTTAATCCTTTGGGGCAGCAGTCACCAACCAGTGGGCCACAGCCCACTGGTGGAACACGAGAAAATTTTGGTGGGCCACAGAGAAATCTCATTCCCAGAGCACCCCTCCCCCAAAGCAAATAATCCAGGCTGCGCAGAAACACAAGGCTGCACCACCCATATGGCCCGCAGGAACCCTCCCTGCCCACTCACTCCTTACCCAGAAAACTTGCTTGCTAAATTTCTATTTTTCTGACCATCAGCTGTTCTGCTGTGCCGCGAGATTTAGATTAACTAGGAAGCAGGAAATGGTTGGATTTCTAGTCTTTAGATCTTCGGCTCTGCTTTTAAGCACAGCCGAACCTCCCTTAGGGCTGAAGGTTCTATTGTTCAGTGCAGACTCACGGCAAGCAAATTTTATGTGACAGACTGAGCTAGCCAATGGCAGATAGATAGATTTCTGAATGAATCTGTGATTCTGTGAGCAACTCAATCTGCCTGCCTGCTTTGCCTGATTTTGGGTAAAAGTTGCTCTTTTTTATTATAAAAAATTCAATATTTATATAAATATTTATAATATTTACATACAAGTCATGCCCAGCCAATCATATGACCACCAAGCTGCACCCACAAATTAGGCCATGCCCACAGAATTGCTTAGTGATCCCTGGGATTTAAAATTATGAATTTGGTGGTCCCTGAGGTCCAAAAAGTTGGTGACTCCTGCTTTGGGGGGGTCATGACGCCACAGATTGATGTGTGTTTCTGCTCATTCCTCAAAGAAGAAAGATTTGTTGAAAAGATAGCAGTTATTTCAATCCCAGCCAAAGGTGGTATTCAGACATTTATGACAGCTTCTGGAGAACTGGTACATAAATTTTGAGTAGTTTGGAGAACCAGTAAATACCACCTCTGGTTGGCCCCATCCCCATCTATTCGTTGCCTCCCAATTCCCAGCTAATTGAAGTCCCAACTGATCACAGGGTTTTCTTCTGTTGCCATGCACAGGAGAATAGATCTGGAAACCAGATTAGTGGGATGGGGAGGAGATGGTGATTTTACAGTATCCTTCCCCTGGAGTGGGGTGGAAATGGAGTTTTTACAGTATCCTTCCCCTGCAACGCCCACCAAACCATGTCCACCAAGCCACGCCACGTCACACCACGTCCACCACATCACGCCATGTCCACCAAGTCATACCAAGCCCACCAAGCCACGCCCACAGAACTGGTAGTAAAAAAATTTGAATACCACCACTGCTCCCAGCAGTATAAAAAGCTAAAAGGGACAGGGAATCATTCTGGTGCATTGACTCCTCATGCAGAGAAAAGAAAAACTCCAGTAATTGGTTTTTCCCAAATTCTGATTTAACAATTAAATTCAGATGGTCATATCTATTTGTGGTATAGATAAGAGTAAATAAAGTAGTAGGAATTTTCTTTTTTAACAGTTTTACTTACAGATTTCTCATCTAGTAAATGAATCAGTTCATAAACCAGGATTTGACCCATTATTGTGGTCCTTCTGCTTCTCCACTCCATCTGCCTTAGAGTCTTTCAGTAATAAACATGTTTCAACTTTTATCAGCTTGGCTGACTTTAGGTGTGGGTTGGAGCCCAAGACAGATACCGTAATTATTTTTTCCTTTTGTCAATATTATCCAAACCAATTATAGGAACTTTCCCTTTCTTCTTTTGCTTCCTCCTTGATTTCCTTAAATTATTTGGGGAATTTAAAACTTTTATAGGTGTTTACAAGCATTTAAATGTTTTAAAGAGGCAATTATACTATCAATTTGATTTAATGGTTAATGTACCAGGCCAGAAACTAAGAGATTGTGAGTTCTAGTTCTGACTTACACATAAAAGCCACTGTGGGCCTTAGAGCTAGTTACTCCCTAAGCCCAACTCACCTAGTTGTGGGAAAATAAGAGAAAGGAGGAAGATTAGATATGTCACTGTCTTGTGTTATGTATAAAAATAATATAAGAATAATAAAGGTGGAATAAAAGGTGGAATAATCTTTAAATAAGGGACAGGAGATAGTGAGCACATAAAATTTCATGTTAGCTGAATACCACCTAGCTGCTCTCTCCACCCCCCTCCTCATTTTTGTTGCATATGCACACTTTCATATTGCCAGCCTCCATTATTTGATTCTGGTAGAGTCTTGGTTATTTGTTCTTTCTACACTACTCAGAATCATAAAGGATGAGAAAGGTGGATCTATACATTTTTAAATTAAAAAAAAATACTTTATTCAATTTTGACAATTCTACAACAATCAGATAACAGATAATCAGAGTTGGAAGGGACCTTGTAGGTTATCTAGTCCAACACCCCCCCGCGCCCAAGGGGGCGGGCTACACCATTTCTGACATTTCTGTCCAGTCTCTTCTTGAAATCTCAAGTGATGACACTCCAACAACAAGGACAAGCTGTTCCATTGGTTGATTGTTCTCACTATCAGAAAGTTTCTCCTTATTTCCAAGTTAAATCTCTCCTTGTTCAGTTTCCATCCATTATTCCTTGTCTGGCCTACAGGCGCTTTAGAAAATAGCTTGACCCCCTCCTCTCTGTGGCAGCCCCTCAAATATTGGAAGACTGCTACCATGTCTCCCCTGGTCCTTCTCTTCACTAGACTAGCCATGCCCAGTTCCTGTAACCGTTCTTCATATGTTTTAGTCTCCAGTCCCCTAATCATCCTGGTTGCTCTTCTCTGTACTTTTTCTAGTCTCAACATCTTTTTTATAATGTGGCGACCAAAACTGGATGCAGTACTCCAGGTGTGGTCTTACCAAGGCCTTATAGATTGGTACCCGTACCTCACACGATCTCGATTGTATCCCTCTGTTAATGCAATTTAGGATTGCATTAACTTTTTTGGCTGCTGCTGCACACTGCTAGCTCATTTTTATCTGGTTGTCCACTAAGACTCCAAGATCCCTCTCACAGTTACTGCTATTGAGCCTGGTTTCACCCAGCCTATATGTGCACTTTTGGTTTTTCTTGCCTAAGTGTAAGACTTTACTTTTCTCTACATTGAATTTCATTTTGTTAGATAGGGCCCAGTGTTCTATCTAGTCTGTCAAGATCCAGCTGGATCTTGAGCCTATCTTCTCGAATGTTAGCTATTTCTGCCAGCTTAGTATCTTCTATAAATTTGGTAAGTTTCCCTTCTATTCCCTCATCTAAGTCATTAATGAAGATATTGAAGAGTACTGGACCTAAGATAGAACCTTTTGGCACCCCAATGCTTACTTCCGTCCATGTAGACTTATACCCATTAAGGACCACTAGTTGAGTACGGTTTGTCAGCGAGTCCATCTAGTGATGGTGCTATCTATTCCACTTTTTTCTAGCTTACCAAGAAGTAGGTTGTGGTCTACTATGACAAAAGTCTTGCTGAAATCTAAATATATTATGTCCACAGTATTTTGCTGGTCTACTAATTTAGTCACTATATTGAAAAATGAAATAAGATTGGTTTGGCATGATCTGTTTTTAACAAACCCGTGCTGACTGCTTGTTATTACTTTACTTGTTTCTAGATGTTTGCCAGATCTGGTTTTTTTGCTTTCTTTTCCAGTATCTTCCTGGGTATTGATGTTAAGCTGATTGATCTATAGTTTCCTGGGTCTGTTCTTTTTTCCTTTTTGAAGATGGGATATCGATATTTACCAGTTAAAAACTGAACTCAATATTGGGTCCTTTAGTTGCAATTTTCCTGCTTATCTGGAACACAAGATTTACAAAGATGTTGAATTGTAAATTGCACTATCTATCAATCCAGTTGATTCTAACATACTTGCACATTCATCTCAATCTGGAATGGGCTTTCTGCTACCTGTTGTATGTAACAATCTGTGGTTCTCCATAAATCAGCTTTTTTGTGACTACCTTTGAACTAATGTTTTATACAAATATTATGCTCTTTAAATATAGTAAAATATTGCATTAATATCTAGGTTTAATGTATTGTAACTTATAATATCTTATTTATTTTGATTTCATTTTAGTTTTAAAGGCCCAACTGTAATAAGCTGCTATGGAATGGGTGTGTACGCCGTTGGAATGTCTACTTTCTACAGGTATAGTACCTACATACATACATACATACATACACATATATACTCGTACATATACATATATACATATACTACACACACACACACACACACACACACACACACACACACACATATCATGTGTATAGGGGTTATTTTAGAATATAGTGTAATGTTTGACTGATGATTTTACACTATTTAAAAGAAGATAATGCATCACTGAATCCATACCATATTATGGTTGCGTATGGTATGGTACAGTAGGGTACGGTACAGTACAGTACAGTACAGTATAGTATAATATGGCGTGATCAGTTCAGAAGGACACATCGACACTAAATTAGATTTTAACTTGGAGAATCTACTTTTATCCTAATGATGTTGCAAGCAAGAATGTTATTATTGCACCAACTGCTGCACTTCTTCCCAAATCTGTGAATGAAAATACAGTCTTTCACTATTGGAGAGCAAAAGACATTTGGGAAATGTGATTGGACAAATGAGAGTAGCAATATAGCAGAAATCATAATAGAAGAGACTCTAATGTAGTTTTTCCCAATCTGCTGAATGGGATCTGATGGGAACTTCTAGTCCTAAAAATCTGTGATTCCTCTTTTCCTAAACACCTACATTTTAAAGTTTTGAATTCTATTACTGACTGAAAACAAAAGCCAACCAGTGAATGAAAAATATTACCCCTTAAGAAAAGAGAATGATGATTTAAAATAGAAGAAGAGATACCAAATGGCATAATTAAGAATAAACTAATAAAGACATAAACCAAATAAGTTAACCAATTAAAAGTAACATTTTTTAAAGAAAATTAAAGGACAAAGGTTAAATACCTTAATTGGAAGTGGTTTGTTTACAGCTCCATTGTTTGAGGATAGGAAGTTTACAAAAAATAAAGCTAAGGGATCCCCCATTATTTTCTTATTTGTTTGCTAATTGAACATGCCTAGTTATTTTCTTCTTCTGAATGATGAGCTTATTTGTCTAAAATCTGATTTAAAAGGGAATTTCCTGTTTTGTCCTTCAAATTATGTAAATCTAACAGAAGTATTTGCACTTGTTTCACAACACAACTGCTAGTTTATTAACAATCGCTACATTTTTAAATTTTGATTTTAAATCTTCCTGATTCGTTGAAAATATCATTAAAATGCTGTTGAAACTTTCTATTGTTAGAAGCCCAGGTCACCTCTTTTACTTGAGGCTTTTTACTGGATGTTCCTGCTGTTACTGATTCAGTGAATGGAACGCACCAGAGAATCCTTTCAGCAGAGGTTCTATGGAACATTCCCTGGACAAAGCTCTTATTCTTCTCTGGAGATAAATGTACAATGGCCACGAAAGCCACTGACTTTATCTACCACTGTTGGCCATTAAAGCCACTGAGTTTATTACCATTCATCAATTTATTATTTCATTTTTATTTTACTGTTATTTCATTTTGAAATGTATACTTCATTAACAATTACTTTGAATGTATGAAAATAATAGTTCATTGAAAGATGAAGACAAAATGTTTTAGATTAATATCATGGCCAAGTTATGCATCTTCGATTTAGTTTCTGCCTGCCTATTTTGGAATAATCCTTTTCCTAAATTTGGACACCACAATGTGTAATAAACTGATATTACTGGGATATAATATTTTTCAATTACCTAATTTTCTGGCTTGTTAACAATGTAATTCCAGGAGGTGCGAGAAAAGAAAAAGGGGGCTTTTCTAGGACTCTTACTTTTTTAAATGATAATTTTATTAAAGCCATCAAAGTATAAATTACAATTGGAAATTGTAAAAGGAAAAAGAAAGAAAAGCATTGACTTCTGATTCTTTTTAGCACATGAGGATAAACTAATAACATTACAGCCTCAACTTTTTAGTTTTACAGATTTAATCTCTGCTAGCCATTTCTAAAACACCAAACTTCTCTAATCAGCAAAACCCAAAATTAAAGTTTCATTTTTTTTATCTCTAACATAAAATCCAGAAGCAGTTTTCAAGTTGAGTGTATTCTTTTCTTTGATTAGAGCAGTTAATTTAGTCATCTCTGCTATTTCCAACATTTTTTTAGCCATTCATCTATTGTGGGAATTAGGTACTTTTTTACTTTTGTGCATAAACCTGTTATCATATATAACAGCAAAGTTCCAGATTTTTTAAAAGGTTTTCTGTCCAGTAAGCCTAAAATAAAAGTCTCAGGTTTAATTTTTATATTCACTATAAGAAATTTAATGTACTAAAATATGAATCTTACCCCAGTATTATCACTAGCCGATAACCCAGCATTGCCCGGGTATTTATTTATCCCAATCCTGTATTAGACAGGAAAATCCTGTAGTTGGAACTCATGCTGTTGTAATTCTTCTATTCCTCCACAAGAGGGAGCCCTGTGAAACCGTTACCATGGCAGAAGCCATTTTAAGGCACACACATATACCCTCCTGAGGGATGTTACGGGTATCTTACCCCCACAGTATTTGTTTACAGAGGGTAAGTCATCTGTGTACCCAGTTTGGTTGAAATTGCTCGAGGTGTTCCAGAGTTATGCTGGAACATACACATACATAAAAAAGATAAAAATAAAGTAAAATAAATAATAATAATAAATAATAAAATAATAATAAAAGAAAGAAGAAGAGAAGATAAGTCTACCAAAGATAGTAAAATCCTTTGCATTTACATTTCCAACATACAGCAGGAATTTTTCGCCCTCTAGATGTTTCTGAATTAGCCGTACAGGCCCATTAAATAGATCTGTGAATTGAAGTTCAACAATATTGGAAGAGTAAAGGCATTTCCCCCTGCTCCCAATATCGGATAACCAAAATTATTGTTCTGAAAAATAAATAAGAATAGCAGTTAGACTTATATACCGCTTCACAGTATTTTACATATCTCTCTAAGTGGTTTACAGAGTCAGCATATTGCCCCCAACAATATGGGTCCTCATTTTACCGACCTTGGAAGGATGGAAGGCTGAGTCAACCTTGAGCCAGTGAGAATTAAACTGCTGAACAGCTGGTAGTCGGCAGTCAGCAGAATTAGCCTACAATACTGCATTCTAACCATTATGCCACCAATAGCAGCTTATTTTCAGTTGTCTCTAGACTATGCTGTGACTCTGAAACTTAAGAACTATTTTGTGACTAAGCACAGGAAGCCCATTGAAATGATTGAATTATTCAGTCCATCAAAATTAAAGCTTTTATTTAAAACTTTTAATTGCACTAATTTTTCTTCAGAATGGTTAGATTTCTTTTTCCATTAAGTTCAATTGGAGTTAAATGAATAGATACTGTGAGCTAACCATTCTAGTGTTTCATGTCTTTAACTGAAAATCATTTAAAACAATTTGTTTTATTTTCCAAGTTGGCCTATTGCTGCTATTTTATTTTGTAGAAGTGATAACTCAGTTCATTTAATGCAGTCATTTCACCTTCCTATGTTTTAGGTAACTGGAATATTTATAGTATTCATTAACTTCTCCTCTCTTCTCCGTCTCCTCTATTCTCACCATGTTTCTCTTACAAGCATATGATTTACTACATGTGCCAGACAATAAGATGAGCCTGCATTTAAGGAAGTCCCCATCCCCAAAGTAATATTAGAATCAAAGAAAGGTCATAAACATAAATATTAAAATCTTGAACATTACATGGCTGGCCTATCTTGTAAGGTTGTCAATTCTTAAAGAAATGTTTTTTTTTCTTTAACCAATGTGGCACGTGACAGTCTTGTGAATATGCATTTACATATAAGCACCGACCATAATCCAAAAAGGTATATTCAAGGCTAGAACTTAAATGAGTATTAGCATATTTAATAGCTTTTGATTAAATTAATTGCACTCCATTTTTGAAATTATCCGCCATATAAAATGAAGAAGAAAATACTGCCTGTCTATTCTGTTCCTTCTGTTTGCTAAAAAGAACTGTGCTCTAGACACTTTTGTATTCAGTTTGTGAATCCAAGGCTCATTGAATTCAAGGATTCTTAGATTTGAATAAGTATGCTTATGATTTCCACTCTGTTTCAGTTATTTTGCTAATCTTTTGCTCTTTGCCAGGTTAGAGAATGGCAATGAAGAGCTTATTATTTTTCATATCCACGTGAGGATGCTTTCCATTGTAGATGCTTAACCATTACAAATGGAGAAGGTCAGAAATGAAATGTCTATGTTCCTTGAAGTAATTTGGGAGTAGCTTCTTTACTTTCTTACTTTCTGTATTCTCACAGAATGTAAGATTTTCCTCAATTTAACCTCCTGGAAAATTCATCTTTCAGAAAAATACAGTAACTAGCTAGACACATTACTTTCAAGGCTGAGAACGGAGAGGACTATGTCCGTCTGGTTTAAGAACTCGTATGATTCTCACTAACAAGCATAATAACAATAACAAGCATCATTATCTAGATTCTGATGGCCCATAATGGATTAACCCTTAGACAAGCATTTTCTGGCGTATACACTTGAAATGGCACAGAAAGGAAGGCTTAATGGCATATCTGAAGATCTTACTATGACAAAATTGATCTCTCATCCTGAATACTAAAGTGTTTTGTTTTAGAGATAACATTTTCAGATGTAGCATGTATAATTATGTGCATACACACATTGTTAATATTACCCAGAAACTCCCTTCACCCAAATCCCAGAACTGTCTCAATTAAGTCCAGCCACAAGCAGACCACTGCTAGTCCACAGAGCAATAGCTAGTGAGTCTACAAGACACTTGAAAGTTTCGCAATCAAAATAAACCCACCAGACAAATTAAATCCACAATACAAGAGAGATCATAAGAAAAATCCAGAGTTCATAAGACATGATTCAAATCAAGGCACTGTGTCAATCCAAAGCAAGGCCAGAATCACAATGAAATAGCTAGGAAATGAACCTGTTGTTCCAAGCATCGCTTCCATCTGTCTATTGTGCTAAATAGCCAGCTTCTGGTGCAGCCCATCAAGAAGGGCAAGACTGCCTCCTCACCAGTAATCTGGTAATCTTCTCTTCTCC